GAGCCCAACAACCATCCCTTTCCCCGAGAACCGCTCCTCCTCCTGTACCTGGAGCCTGAGAATCACATTCGAAAGAGATCGCGGAATTCTCATTGAAGCTGAAGATGGAGTTCTCGCATACGAAGTCACCCAGGCAATCCACCACATGCGTGTCATTGACCACAAAAGTGAAAGTGCTATCGCTACAAGTGCTCCCGGATGATGATGGATTGGACTCTGAGGTGGCTTTGCAGTACAAGTCTTGCTCCAAGATCACCTGTGAGTCGGAACAGGCAAGAAGACCACGGCAAAGGAGGCTTTCAACGTCGGACATAGTAGAATTTGTGCACACCCGAGTGCCATCACAGCACACATCATTTTGGCAAATGACATCGTTGACCGTCAAACTGAAGGATGAATTGGAGCAAGTGTCCCCATCATTTGCAGATGAACAGCACACTGCCCCCACATTTGAAACGAACCAAACATCTGTGCAGGTCGCATCTCCGATGCAGACCATGGCTTGTCCAGCCGAAGCGAACGTGAATGGTGAGCCAACAACCTGTGAGCAAGTGCGGTTGCCTTCGCAACGCAATTCTCTGTTCGGGAAGAACAATTCTGTTTGTGGCAAAATTCCTTGCGCACCTGGCAAGTCACATCCTACACATACATCATCTCCTATGCATGCGCCATCGTTCAGCATGGTTAGACTGCAATCAGCCCTCAGGGCTTTTTCGGCACCTTGACTCAAAACTTCAAGATCTACTCGATCTGCTCCCAACGTCTGCTGAGATCGACTTTGCATAGCTTGCAAGAAGGCTGCACCATCATGGTAGCGATCACAAGATGCGCTACCAGGGAAGTTCGTGCTGCAATCACTCGGATCTGTGCTGGCGGCGATTTCAACGATCAAACCCAAGCCGAGGGCATGGATCAACACAAACCACATTGATCCATGTCCTGTTCCAAGGGCACGCTGAGCCAGTTGCCTCAATGGCATGAGCTGCCTCAGCATGGAATCGTCGATCTGGAATCAAAGGAGCTGCGAATGCATGTGTGAAAGTAAACTCAATCAGAATTGGCTGATTTCACTCCGTGTCACTGCACCATATCTCTCTTGATCTGCCTTTCAATTTCATTAGAATCAAACAGCTCTGGCCGTGGTTGCGTTTCCGATTCACCGCTGCTTTTCGTCCTTCTGTCTGCTCTGCGATTTCCAAGCGTCGAAGGCTCCGACTGTTTTGAACTTCCACAGAACTATAAAGTGCTCTGGTCGTTCTCTCTGGCGTTAGTTACTAAGTTATTTTCTTTCAAGTTTCGCAAAAACATCATCAAAGAAGCGAACTTAATACGGATCCCTGAAATTACAAGTTCTGCCGCTGGGAAGTTTGTGCAGCTTCTGTACACATCGGTTGCCTGTGCTACTGCAGCATGGTTTCTTTGCCAATCTTTTCATCGGCTGCGCAGTCCAGCCTCGTGCAGCCCGGTAGCTGCCAAGACACGTGTGGGGCCCCCCTCCTGGCACGGTTTCAATGGAAGCTGAAAGATACATCAAGATAAATCATATGGGGGGTTCTATAAATGGAGGTACCCCAATGGCTGGATGGTTTATAGTGGAAAATCCCATTAAAATGGATGATTTAGGGGTAACCCTATTTTAGGAAACCTCCATATTGCATCAAGTCTCGCTCCACCGACTATGACACTTTCCCAGATGGAGCTTCCAGCAACTGCACCATGTCAACTCGCCATGTCCTCGCCGACAAAAACTCGCTCGTCATCAACCTGCCAACATGGAGATACCCCAGAGGTTTCTCGGGTGGCCTGCCTGGCATCCCATGCATCATGAAACGAGACGACCATCCCCCCTGTGATCTGTGGAACTGCGTGGCACTATGGTGAAGAACTAAAAACATCTAAACACTCTCATTTTCACCGAATCTCACCCTGCCTGGCCAACTTCAATGCCAAAGCACGACCTGGGAAAACACCCGGGTTTTTTGAACCAACGACCCAGATTTCATCTGAGGGCAAGAATGGGGATGGTATCACATGCTATCGCTAGTGTCACCCAAAGTTGGGAATATGTTATCCACATTTTATCGAATTTTCTCCACATCCAGTGGATGCACTTAAATTTGAGTATATAACATGTTCATATATGTTCATAGCACAACCCCTGCTGCAAACAGCTCGCAGGCAATAATTTCATCCAATTTTCACCACCGGTGCTTGCCTTGCGGATGGGCACCTCACGAACCTCAAAACAATCCATCAGGTGGGGTGCATGGAAGGGAAAGGATGGCACAAAACCACGTCGCAGCTCGTCAACAAATGTGGGAGATGTTGATTTTTAAAAACGTGAGGTGACACGTGTGCTTCCCAAAATTGCCTCAAAAGCAAGCTATAGGCACAGCTCCAAAACGTGGCAGGAAAACATCAGCGTGATTTATTCAGTCCATACATGTCCATACAATAATTCGAATTGGAAGTAAAATGGCACGTAAATTCGAATTGAAATATCTCCCTCTGGGACTTTTAATGATCTTTGGAACTGCATGGCGAAAACTGCTGCTAGGTTTCTGACACGAAGCTGCTTGCTGCACATCAGGACAGGCTGAAATTCCTACGCTCACAGGGCTGTTCGAAGGTGACAGAGATCCTTCCTCTATGCTGTTTTCGGGCCAGCAACATGTTTCCATCACACCATGTGAACGAAAGATATCTAAAGAATTCTGAAGAGTCATCTCTATCATCTCTAATGTCATGGGTTCTCTTCATATTGTTTCTACACAGGCAGCATCACTGGCAGTACTGTTCATGGTCCTGATAGATATATTCCAATAATACCAAATTATAACTCTATATCCCATTGATACAAAAATATCCCACGATCATCCATCCACCGAGTACCATCAGATCATCCCATGAATGGCATTTCCAATCAACGCCAGGCATCGGTCTGGGCCGCTTCAGAGGTGGCACGTGCCCGGGCAGGATTAGAAGAGGTCCTCACAGCCCAACAAAAAGAACCGTGGTAAACCCAATAATGAACCAAGATTGGCTATGATTGGCTATGATCTATTCAAAATCACGATTTACACTATTACTGGGTCTATTACTGGGTGATATTTCTTGATCTTCAGATTCCTGGTGTTTGTTGGGGGTGCTCCATGTTGAGTGGAATTTCGTCCAAGGTATGGTTCCCTCATCAACACTCCCAAACATAGATGTTTGCCAATTCAACCAGGTCGCTCGATGTTCTTTGCACCTCACAGGCTCGGTCGTGATTATCCCGTCCCGTTGATATTAACCCCCAAAAAAACCATGGTTTGGGGATGAAATCACGTATTTGGGGACCATTGGAATGGGAGTGGATATTATATCACACACCACCTTGTCTGCAACTTTTGTTTGAAAGTGTTGCTTGCCAAGGGACCGTCAGCTGTGGTTGTTCAGATCCATTGTTCCTCTCCGAACCTGTCGTCATTGAAATAATGTGGTAACCCCAATAGAACAAAACCATCCCATTCAGCAAGCGTTTGGGGGGCTAGCGGCTATTCCAATCAAACACCGGATCATATTTACATATATTTACCCCATTAATGTCCGCGGATGGTTTATCATTGAATATCATCGACTCTTTACATCTCACCACATTTTTCTCAGTGACCAAATTGAATTCCCAGACTCACCTGGCACGGCTTCGCCATCCTGGACCACTTCAGTGGCTTTTGCCTCGCTGTGGCTGTGGCTGAACGCCACTTTGCCAAGCGACCGACTTGCGGAAACATCGCAGAATGCGGTGTTTCCGCACTTTTGGGAGATAGAAGTTCTATGAAGTTCTTGTCTCTAGTTATCCGTACCCATTCATCCTATGAGAATGGTTCAACTGTGCAACTGTTCCCCTTGGATCAGCTACCCATTGATCATCACCAGGGATATTTGGATGCTGATCCAGTCATCACAAAGAAAATGCAAATCCTCCCGGAAAAACGAACCATGTGGTTGACATCAGATGTGAAAGGTGGACACAAAAAAAATCCCTAGTGGCCCTAGTGCCCTTCCAAGCTCGGTTGTGCCTTCGAATCCGAAACCTCATCTTGCTCCATGGCAGACATCCGCCGCAAGGCCTCTGCTAAAATCCATCTGTCCAACACAGAATAGCACCAAAATATACCAAGATATACCAAGATCCACAAACCCATCGCTACACTGCCGAGATACAGAAGTCTTGTCACCGTTCTTGGTGACCGCTGGATATGAATGGAAGCTGTCGAAGCTGTCGAAGCTATCGACAAGGCGGAAGCAAGTCCCAGGCCTGGCACGGAGGACTTCGAAGACTCTGTGTCCAGTGACTCCAGTGGTCAAGACATGTCAAGACATGATACGAAAAGAAGGCTTCCCCTAGGGGGATTCATTGAGGGTCATGAGTCATGAAGAAAGTCATCAAAGTTTCAGATTCATCAAGACGCAAGTCCAAGTTCGTCTTCTCGTATCCTTTGCAGTTTTTTTCCCATTCCACAGCTGCAAATAGTCCTTATCCTGACCATGATCTTTTGAAGATCCGTTACCCTCCGGTAAACTGGCAAAACTATTGAAAATCACCTGTTTAAAATACTGTTAATAGGTAAATCAACCTATCACTGGGCCATTTTCCAGTTCGCTATGTTAGTCATTACCAGAGGGTAAAATCACAGAGTAGCCATCTGGAAAAGCTCTGTGGCCTGGCAGTTGGTGAAAGGGACAAGATGTCACCGGCTTTCAGCTTAACCCGCTGGCCCTGGGCTCAAGGATTTCTGCTGCTTGATGTTTTTGAACCCATGAGAAATCTCCAGGCATCATGATCATCATGCCAGTCATTCGAGATTATCATCCCCTAAACTTCCTAAACAAGGATTGAAAATAAGTTAAAACACTAAATAATATTAAATAATACTAAATATCTTGGACACAACAGGACTGGAGACTCAACTCAAGATGTTTGCGCTCACCCTGGCTGCACCAAACAAATAACCCAGCTACACAAAACGGATGTTATCCTCAAACTGTGGCAAATTGCGGCAAATCTGCACGTCCCAATCTTCTGAGGCCTTGAGCAACCGCGCATTGTTCCAGTAGGTGCCATTTCTGCTGGCGTCCTCCAACTCGAAATCATCAGGACCCAAGCTGAAAATGGTGCAGTGAAGGCCACTTACCTCAGACATGCAGGATTCAAACTTTCAAAGGTCAAGGACGGTCAAGGGATCTAGGAGCTATGCAATTACTATTCAATATTCGCATCAACCGCATCAACCGCAACTGCCCTGCCATCCATGGCATGCAATTGAGTAAGACCCTGGCCGTTTCATCTGCGCAAACCTGAATGAGACAAATGAGAAACAAAGCCTCTCCAAAATTCTTCAAATCAGCAATTTCCAAAATCTGAACCACCAAAATCTGAAACTGAATGCTGTGCAAAAATAATGCGAAGATGTGCAAAGCAACAATGGAACAGGTCGATCTCCGGCCCAACGTCGTCTCCCCTGCATCTGGCAGCTGGAAGGCTTCTCTCGTCGAAAGTGGCACCAAGAATCCAGGCATGGCCAACCGCCGTGGCCGTGGCCGGTTGAATGGCGGCGCCACTGGCGGCCATGGCACCCTCAGTGTTCACTCTGCGTGCCCTTGAACTGGAAACAAGTTAAAAGATGTTAAAAGTTTGATCAAGTTGGCATGTTCCTCAATCCACAGCCTGTGAGCCTTGCAGCTTGCAGTCAAGACAGTCCCTCAACATGCACACGTTTGATTTCTGGATACGGATACTTCATGACTTCATGATACATTTTGCTCAAGCAAGTTGTGCAACATTGTGCAACACTGTGCAACACTCAATCTTCCCACTAAAAATGAGGCCTTTCATGGCTTTTCAGGTTTCTCCATCTCCCATGATCCCATATGATCCCCGTCATCTCCCATGATCTCGACATATCTCGACCATTCTCGACTGTTTATTTTCCATCTTTTCCTCACCTGCGGATCCGTTGTGCCACCTGGGCCTCGCCGGCCTCGTCGCAGGCGCGGGCCACGGCCTCGCGCGTCGCCGGCGGCACCGGGAAGCCCTTGCGGCGCATGGACGCCAGCAGCGCCAGCGCCGGGCGCCACGTCGCATCACCGGGCGCGGCCGCGTCGGTCATGGCGGTGATGGCCTCCACGGTGGAGGCGTAGGTCGTGACGTCCGGCATCACCAGCCGCGACCACATGTCCTCCAGGTAGCTGAGACCCAACTGCCACAGCTTCCCACGGCTCAGCAAAATTCCCAAGTTGTACATCGTCCAAGTGGGTTGCAGATCCAGAGCCAACATCTCATTCAAACAGGCAAGGCCAAGCTCCCACTGGCCACCCTGGACACAAGCATGCAAGGTCACATTGAAAGTGGCAAAATCCTTGCGGCCCTTCACCTGTTGTAGGTCGTTCACCAAGCTCAGAACCCTTTCCCACTGCCTACCATTGCAGCAGGCCCCCATCGCCAGGTTGTAGGAGATGATGTCCGGAGATACAGAATGCCTAGGCGCATCCTCCAGGATTCCTAGCACCGCCTCCCAGTTTCCCACCTGACTACAGGCCGAAATGGCAGCGTTGGTCAAGACGATGTCCCCCACGGGCCACGCGCCCGTACGCTTCAGCTCCAACAAATCCAAAGCTTCCCTCCAGAAGTGTAGCCGCCCACAGGCAGAAATGAAGGCTTGAACCTCTTTGACCCTGGTCAAAGTTTCTGGTTTTTGAATCACCTCCTGAATCACGGCCAATGCTTTTTCCGACTTCTCGGGGAGATTTTGCAAGCTTCGCAGTCGAGCTTGATTCTCCACAGAAATGGCAGGCCCCTCTCTGCTCCGGCGTTTCTTCCCAAGTCCCTTTGATCTTGGCGCGGCGATGGCATCGATGGCGGCAAAATCTTCGCTTTGCAGCAAGGTGGGGACAAAGAGAAATGCCAAGAACAAAACGCGACCCCAAGGCCTCCGTAAAAGGCTGGGTGGCATGGGAAAGTACACCCGATAAAATGGAAAGGAGCTACGAGCCTATGATGTGATATTCGTAGGAACTGCAAACTTCCAATGTTGGAACTTGTGTTAAGATTCACATAGCTTGCCATTCACCTTCTGGACTCATGAAGGGGTCCACTGAACTTGTGAAGTGACTGTGTCACGATCGTAGTCCGGTTTCGTATGGTTTTGCATGTAAATATACTTCAAAGCAAACGAAGTGACGTGTCACTTGAGCCTAAACCGACAAGAATCAAGGAGGACATTTCTGCTGGCCAATAGTTCAGAGTAGAGAAAGCGCATGGTCTTTTGAAACTGTTCTCGAGAAAAACTTCTTCACCGTTGCAACTTTTCCACTTTTGGCAATCTCCACCCTCCGCAACCCTCCTCACTTCAGCTTGGATCTCACTCAGCCCCTAGTAGCTGGCAGGAGATCAGTCTCCCCGATTCACTGTTTATCATCAGCTCACCAGCTCTCACCATGTTTCGCCATGTTTCACCTCCAATCCGCCCCAATCCGATGCATCTGTTGCCGGTGCCGTTGGGGCCGTTGGGGCCGTTGGGGCCGTTGGGGCCCATCACCCGATCTCGTCCACCGGAGGATCTCGAGATCCTGCCACGCAAACAGCGCCGCAAACAGCGCAAACTTCAACCAAAATAGCCAAAATCCATCATGTAGACCCAGCCAGTCTCCTGGCGAATGGCTTTCCAAGTCAAAATATGCAGGGATCAAAGGTTTGTATCATTCTTGGTGAGCCTGATCCCTGATGTTCATGTTGATTCTTTACACTGGCCAGCGAAAAAAAACAAACGAAGAATGAGGTTGTAGCAACTCTGTAACTTCCGCGCAAGCATACTTAGGGAAAAAAAACAAGGTCTTGAGACTACCTCTTCAAGTCTCCATGTCATCTATGTCCCATCCAACTCAGTAACTCCGAGGAATCCTCCACCAAGCTCAGCATATGAGGAAAGCCATTTCCCCATCTCAAGCGACCACTCAGCACTTCCTTCCAGCCAGCTGACCGCAAGCGTGCAGCGATCCAGCCTTCGTGCAACGCGAAGACCGAGTTCACGATGAAAACGCTGCGAGGTCGGCAGTAGGTCTCCAGCACATACCATTCCTCCACGGCCGGGCCCCCAGTATCGATGATGGCCAGCTCTAAAGTCCTGAAAAAAAACTGGAACCATTGAAGAAATAAAGTTTATGACATCATATGATCACATATGATAATAATAATAATAATAATATATGATATGTTTCACTGTCTGACCTTTCAAATTCTTCATTCCCGAATCTACACCAGGCTTTGCCAGGCATCTACCAAAATGGTGGCTTCAGAGCGGAAAACCAAGATGTTTGAGAAAAATTCTGCGCATTCCTTCATTGGGCAGAAACCTTCAAACATGTTTATTGTAAACAGTTGACCCGGTCATCTGGGAAAAGAACAATGGTCCTGTTCGCCAGAAAATGGTCACAGATTTCTCGTAGGGCGCTCTGATTCTTCTGTGGTTGTGGACATCGGAAGCAGTCCTCAGAGGAAACATCTCAGTCGTGCTTTCCTGCTGCAATGAGAGACAACAAACCAATCTCCTATTGCCAAATGTATGGATAGGCCAGAGCACTAGCGACCCTCCAGCACACCCATCAAGAAACAACTGAAACAACTTCCATAAAATGAAATGAAGCTAAATGAACCATATATATATAATATATCCTATATATCCATATATTATATATGGTCATCTTTTGCTTTAAACCTGAGCGTCCAAGATGTTGCTAAAGAGTCCGGTCTCACCACGTCTGCAGCCCTTGGGACATAACTCGCTTGGATATGCAGAACCCTCCAGGGCCACCAAGGTCAGCTGTTTCGCCTGAAAAGTCTGAAAGAAATTGAAAAAATGCACTGGAAAAGTTTCGAATGCACCGAATGCACCTGGTTTGTGGCTGAAAGCCTTCTGACACCCTGGGAATTACAAAATTTAGATCTTCTTGAGTGATCGTGTTTGCCTATCTATTTTGCCAATTTCAAAGCAAAAAGGGCAGAACGAAAGGTGTGTAGTTATGATGATGAAAAGGCAGAGTGCCGAGCACAGGCTGATTTTTGTTCCTGTAATCATCGACTCGTCACGCTTTCTGGGACACAGGTGCAACATTTGATGTAGATGAGACTCAAACGGAATACGAAGGAAAGCACGGCAATGATGACGATAGATGTGATGTTTGGAAAGATTCAGGACTAAGGTAATATAGTGATAGTTGCAATGATGAAGGTGGTGATGGTGATGGTGATGGTGATGATGATGATGGTGATGATGATGATGATGATGATTGTTGAAATCAAGTGTACAACTTCCCTGTCTGTACTCTCAGCAGCTGTAGCCCACGCGCTGTACTTTTCACTGTAGCGCTCTGAGTAACGCTAGCTCAAGGCTAACTCAAGGGCCCTGTATGGAGCCCAAATAATGTATCGTACCATGAAATGTACACAGAGTAGACTAACATGTTGTATCAGCAACTGTATGGCTCATGTACATGTGCAGGTGTGTTCTTAACACCCTGCCTCAACTGCAACATGTACTTCACAAACATTGAAAGAAGCAGTGTATAACTGAACTGTATTAAATCATGTATGACATCAGTCATCTGTGCAAAAAACCTTGCCTTCGAAAATTCTGTACACCGATCGAAAAAACGTAGTGCCGTGTTGATGTACAGACATCTTGTAGCCAGAATTGTGTCAGATGGATGTATCCATGCAGAGTTACTCACATGTAGTCAGAAACCGTTGTAAGAAAAACTGTAGCAGTATCCAACCATGTACTTCACAAATTCAGCCTTGTAGAGCTCGTCACCGTTGTAGATCAGGATGTACCCAAGGCGGTCTCGGGTGTAGCTCCTGGCAGTGTAGCTGGAGCTGTAGATCCTGAAATCTTGGCCTGTAGCTTGTCCCTTGTATCTTGTGAGCCAAGATTCTCATTCTCATCGAAATTCTCTTTCACATGTATGGTGAACTGAGCTGTGTACTGCAGCAATCCATGCTGTACATCAGCCGGCATGAATCTGGACAATGCCGTGCCTGCATGATGTAATGCCATGGTCAAAGCCGCATGTACAGGGTCTGCTGCTGGTCTGCCCAGAACATGTTGTACATCCAAGGGAATGTACTGGTTCCACACATAGCCACGGTTGTAGCTCCATGGCACAGGTTGTATTAGCCTTTCTGTACTTTCGACAGCGGGGGTTTGTACCTAAAAATTGGACAGCGCGGACAGCAAAGTGTATCGCCGCAAAACTTGTACTGCAAAAAGAACTGAAGTGAAAACCATCATGTAACCCTTGGGGTGAATGATGTAGTGAAAAATGAGGTGATCATGTACATGCCAAACTGTATCACAATGACCATGTAACCCTTAAGGTAGACATAATACGTGTACATGATATACTCAATCAAGTAGGCTGCAGATACGTGTACACTTGTTGTGTTCGTATGCTGGTGTGTGAAACTGCTGTAGCTGGATTCTCCTCAATTGTCTGGCGGACGTATGCCTGCAGCATGCAGGTGC